TCAAGGTGACTGTCAGGGTGGGGATGGGGTGGGTCAGGGAGGGAGGGGCTGCCCAGCCTGACCCTGGAAGGGAAACTTCTGTGCCCTACTCCTTGGCCAGCCCACAGACCCCAGAGGAGTAAGGACCCAATCCCAGGCAGTCTCAGAGGGCAGATGCCATCCCTGAGTGCAGTCCCAGGGGGAACATCTTTTTCAAAGAGCAAGTGCGGCAGCTGCTCTGCTCTTGCTCTCTTAGAACGTGGGACTGAACCTGCGGAAGCTCATCGGTAGTGTGGACGATCTGTTACCCTCCTTGCCATCGTCTTCTAGAACGGAGGTGAGTGTCCTCATTCCCAACCATGCCCCCTGTGCCTCCTGCTGTCCCTGGCTCACTGGAGCCACCTGGGCAGCCTATTTCTCCCAACAGGTGTCTCTGCAGAGTATCAGAGCAGTTAGGGGCAGAGGGCTGAGCCTGCTCTGGGACCTGGTGAAAATCCCAGGCCAGGTCTCAAGCAGTCCCAATGGCTGTGCAAGGAGGCACCTTCCTCCCCGCTCTCCCACCATCCCTTACCTAGTAAACCTCTGCACAGAGGTTAAGGTAGATATGTCATGGATAGCAAACTCCTGCTGAAGTCAAGGATGAGCCCTGGTTCTCTCTGATGGAGTGATGCCTGTGGTAGGCAGAAGGATGTCCCAAAAGTGGTGACTCACGCACAGGGGTTTTACATGGCAAAAGGAGTTTTATTGAGCTGATAAAATTAAGGGTCCCCAGAAGGAGAGGATATGACAGAGTGCCCAAGGGGAGGGGCTCAGAATCAGAGATGAGGGGATGTGAGGGCAGCAGCTGAAGTCAGAGGGATACCTGTGCTGGAAGGGGCCACAGCTAAAGAAGATGTAACCTGGGAGCTGCAAAACGCAAGGAACTCTCCCCTGGACTCTAACAGGAACATAGCTCTGTTGATGATCTTAGCCCCCTCCTCATCCCATGGGACTCATTTCAGAATTCTGACTTCCAAAACTGTTCAAGAATGAACATGCAACAATTACACTGCTATGTTCCTGTAGCCATGGGAAACGGATCCGTTTCTTGTCTAGAAAAATGCAGTGCATTGATGCCTTGACTCTGAGTGGTCCCCTGTGTGGCTCATCCTATCAAGTGATCTCTACTGTTTGTGGTTGTCCAAGGCAAAACAGAATAAGGGTAGGGCTGGCTATCCTCTGGGTGATAACAGTGACCTACTAAGGAGTCCCAGCAGGGCAGGTGCCACCCGAGGGCTGAGGTGACTCCTGAGAACCTGGACAGTTCACTGGGTGAATTTACCAGTGCAGGTCTGGGAGGGTTTGGCATGACCAATTTATTTACTCATCCAGTTTTTAAAGAGATAGCTTTAGTGCTGTGTATCCATCAGGCTAAGCACCAGTGACACAATGGTTAAATAAATAAATAAATAAATAAATAAATAAATAAATAAATAAGGGATCTTGTCTCTTTACTTGACAACAGATTGTTAAAGCCTAGGTGTGCTAGTTACATTTTTCATTGCCGTGGCAAAATTACTGCAGGAGGAGGTTCATGTAGCTCATCGTGGTAGGGAAGGCATGGTGGAAGCAGTGTGAGGTGACTGCTCACATCACAGCGACTGTCAGCAAGTGCTCAGAGCACTTTCTCCCATTTATTCCTTCCAAGACCTCAGCCCGTGGAATGGCACCACCATGCTGTGGTGGGTCTTTCCACCTCAATTACTCCTATCTAGAAACTCCCTCAGAGAGTTCCCCAGTGGTCTGTTTCTATGGTCACTCTAAATGTCATCAATTTGACAGTCGAGATTATCCATCAAAGTAGATGAATGTGTTTGACCTCTCATCAGTGTGCAGGGTTGCCCCCGTGAAGGAGGGTGCTATCCAGTTCAGTCGGGCATTGCTGGCACATGGTTGGCTAGGGTCTGGAATACCTGCTACATTGATCTTTGTAGACCAACTCCAGCCTAGGCAGAGAGGTAGATTCAGCCCAGGCATGGGAGTAACTGGTCCCCAGGAAACTTCTGATGTCTTAGCATCCATTCTGACCCACCTCTCCTGTGTGCTTACCCACCAGATTGAAGGGACCCAGAAACTGCTCAACAAAGACCTGGCAGAGCTCATCAACAAGATGAGGTTGGCTCAGCAGAATGCTGTGACATCCCTGAGTGAGGACTGCAAGCGGCAGATGCTCACAGCCTCCCACACCCTGGCTGTGGATGCCAAGAACCTGCTGGATGCTGTGGACCAAGCCAAGGTTCTGGCCAATCTGGCCCACCCACCTGCAGAGTGATTGAGGGAGGAGCTACCTGCCTGCATCTTCTGTCCCAACCTGTCATGGCATACCTTTCCTGCCTTGCCTTTGGTTATTGGTCTTCTTGGGAAGGCTGAGAAGAGTCCTCCCCTCACCACTTTGCACGACTTCCCCCTCCCCACCCCACCCCAGACTTGTGCTACTCAGGCTGCGTCTGGACAAAGAAGACTCTGGGCACAGACACAGGGGGGTGGGGTGACATAGTTCATATGGGGTACAGCTGCCAGCCACTCCCTCCTACCCCAGCCTGGGTACTGGGGTATCGCTGGGGTCACAGTTGTACCCCTACCAGCCAAGATGACTTTCTGCATGGACATTTGAAAGCCAGTATTCCTCTTCCTCTTTATCCCTCAGGGGACCCCTGATGCAGAGGGGACAAAGGGGCATTATTTGGAGAGAGGCTGGTGAGGCGAGGGCTGGGCCTGGCTCTCTTGTACAGTGTACATTGGAATTTATTTAATGTGAGTTTGGCCTGGGCAGAGACTGTGGCCTGGGCCACAGTCCAGGAACAAACCAGTCTGGCCACAGGGCTCTGTGTTTTTATTAAGCCCAGCACCTCAGGGAAGAAGCAAAGAGTCGGAGGTCAGAATGGGACTCTGTGCCCTTCCTGCTTTTCTCCTCTCCCTCTTTTCTTCTCCCTCTCCACACCTGCTCCTTTCCTTCCTCATATGTTTGTGGAGGACATTCATTTACGTCCCTCCTTTTTGATCTGTGGTTGAATTAAAATCATCGCCATTTGCTTTGTGGTTAGCTTGACTGCATCGTTTATTTGATCTTCTCTTTATGGAAAGAAGTTAACCTGGGGCCACAGCCCATGAGAAGTGTGTGGTGGCCTCCTGTCCTTTGTCCCACGTAGTCAGTAGTGGCACCTCATCCAAAAGGCAACTTTCCAGGAAGACATGGTGTAGTTCCCTCTGTGGGACGGACATTCCTCACGCTGGAGGGGACTAAATGATGCCAGTGACAGCTGAGGTGGCTGGCAGGAAGGCACCACACTTTTGAGAGCAGCCATCTCAGCTTTATTTTACCATGCCTCTCACATGCAAGGAGGTTGGGCGATGTGGGCAAGCATGCAACCATCAGGAAATCACATCTTAGAGCTTGGAACAGAGGGAGGGGAGGCTACAGGTCGCATTCACTGGAGGAAGGAGGAGCCAGGACCTGTACTGGTGATGGAGTGGGACTCATAGGAACTGACAGCAGGGTGTCTGGGTAAGGCCTGTGGTAAGCACATTTCCCCTGGGTCTGCCAATGTGCTGTGTGTGGGGTTCAGGAGAGTACCCTAAGACAGAGACACCAGAAGCTTGCCCTGCTCTGCTTCCTGCCTTGGTCTCTATATCTGTTGGCAATCCAGAATGCCATTGCTGTTAGCTTCTGAGGCCAGGCTCCTCAGGGACTGGACAGTTTCTGAGAGGCTTGATCCCTGTGCTCCTATGCAGTGTTCTGAGAGGTCTGATCCCCTGAACTCTTGTGCAGTGGAGGGTCTTGTAATATTACAAGAGCAAGAACACGTCACACAGAACAGACAGGCTAGCCACCTGATGGGACTGTGGGAAGGCTGGGGAAGAAACCTCCCTGAGGATTGGCTGTTATGCAGCAGTTTTGGGGCCCAGAGCAACTTTCTTTCCACTGGTCAGAATGAACAGTCCAGGTATTGAGTTCTGTCGCCCAGTGTGGGGCTAGGCTGGAGAGAAAGCAAAAGCTGAGACTCTACCCTGAAGGATTAAAGGCAACCTAAAGAGCCTGAAGTAAAAGCTCTCAGTTCCTATGCCAAGCATGCTCAGAGCAGGGAATCAGGGACCAGGGCCTATGGGTGGCAAGGGGGTACCACCAGTGGAGATGCCTTCTTAGTGTGCCCGCTGATGATTTGAAGGCGTTTCTGACCCCTGGCAGTAATTACTGGACCTCTTTGCATCACAGAACAGTGAGACATGATGCTGAAAGCAACCCCAGGTCCCAAAGATGCTTTCAGATGAATAATGAATGGCCCAGCTGCTTCTACCCAACTACACGATATTCCTTCGGCCCCAAGCACCAGGACCATCTAGACCAGTGGCTTGCAACCTTTCTAATGCTATGACCCTTTAGTATAGCTCCTTACATTGTGGTGACCCCCCAACCATAAAACTGCTAATTTGGCAAGCATAATACAAATAGTTGACATGCAGGAAGTCTGATATGTGAAAAGGGTCGAGACCCTCGGGTTGAGAAGTTTCCTGCTCACTCTTGGAAATAGTCTTGTCCCGCTGATATCACAAAGCACATGGAGACAGGTTCAGAGAAGGCCCAGAACGACTTCCTAGGTCTGGATAAAAGATGCCCAGACCTGCTTTTCCAGGTGTCCCATCCCCATTGTTCTGGCACTCTGAATCCAGAGTTCAGAGCTCTCCTGCACCAGGCACTCCCCTTCCCCATGTGTGTCCATTTCTCTTTGCCCTGGTCTGGCCCCTCCGTCCCTTTGTTTGATCCTTTGGTCGCATACGGTTCCCATTGCTCTTTCAGGAACATCTTATTCTCCCTTGTGTCACCACCATATTGTCCCCTTCAGCAGAGCAAAATGGCTTCACCTTTCCTAGTTCCTCAGCATCCCCAAACAGGTCTCAGCACATGGCACAGCAATGTCACTATGAGCCGTCCCACAGAGGATTTGAAGTCCAGGCTAGTCTGGGGGCCTCAGGGAAATCTGCAGGAAAATGGTACTGAACCAAAAGAACATTCTAGAGATGGCTCCAGTTAGAGAAGACCAGAAGACAGTTGTTGAGGCCACCTCGAAGCCAACACGGGGGACATGAAATCAGATCATTCCAGCCAAGAATGGAGGGAGGAAAAGCCCGATGGTTCCCAGGAAGCAGACAATAATGAACAGCCAGAGGAATATCCGGTCTACTACCATGGCCACGTACTTCCAATCTTCCTTCACCTGAAATCAGAATTGGGTTTACAGTAACAAAAGCCAGGAGAAAGGAAGTGTCCCTCCCATGTCCAGCCCCACGGAGGCAGCAGTCGCCAGCCTACTGATGGCTTGGGAAACTGAAGTTATCCTAGGCACAGAGATGGGTGGAGGGAGAAGCAGGCTTACTCAGGGGCTGACATATCCCTGAGAGTCCCATTCTATTTTTCCCTGTATCCATGTGCTCCCAGGTATGGGAGTCCAGAGGAACACCAGGAGGTGCTAAAGCCACTAAGAGGACTTGGACCCTCCAAATCAGAAGAATTTAAATGTAACTCAGTAGTTATGTAACTGCCAAATACCATGCTACCTCCCCACCCACCTGCAGGGGACAGGCAGGCAGTTTGTGGCCCAGGGCAAGTCAGTGTGGAAGAATCTAAATTCTTCGACATTGACAAGTGAATAACTAATGTTCTCATCTACTCAATAAGGTGTCCCCCATCATAAGCTCAGGCTTTTTACCCCTCCCTTGGTTGGTGAGGGGGATAAGCAGGTTCTGAACACTAAGTACTACATGCAACACCGGTGAGGGAAGCCCACCCTGGCTCAGCTGAGAATCTACAGGGCTTATGAGTGAAGAGGGAAAGGATCACAAAGTGCTCAGAGCCCAGATGGAGGAGACCTTCTACCACAGGGGAGTGTGGAGGCCAGTGTTGCATCGAGTTGATGTGTTTATACTTGGTTTCTATCTCTGCAGAGAGTGATCTCTCGCTCCCTGCCCTGTCCCCACCTCTTCCTGAGAAAGGCTGGCCAGCAAGAGCCAAAGCAGAGAGAGATCAACATCCGAGCTCCAGTCTCTAATCACCCTCTCCCAGTTAGGTTGAGCAGAGGGCAATGGGTCATGCGCCCTCAGCCAGGAAGTGACCCAGTAACTCCCAGGGGGAGGAGCTTCTTTTGTGATTGAGTCCAGACTCATCCCGCGTGACTGAGGGAGACCAGTCCTTGCAGGAAGGGAAGGGGTTATCCAAGCTGACGTGCTGGGGTGGGATTACTTCTCTACTAATCTGGCAGAATCAGGTGGGGGGGGGACGACACGACACACGACCCTCCCTCAGCCCAACTCACAGAAGAATCAGCATCCTCAGACCTCAGGTGGTCAGCAATGTAGTGTACGCCTTCTAGTGCTTTTTGTATCTGAGGCGACAGCATGATCTCACTCTCTTTTGATGGCACCTTGGCCTCAGGCCCCAGGGCCCTCAGATGCCGGCTGCTATGGCCATAGAGGATACCCGTGGAAGAGTCAGTGAGGCCTGCACACACACATATATTTTCCTCCTCCTCCTCTTCCTCCTCCTCTTCCTCTGTCTCCTCCCTTTCTTCAGCATCCATGTGGGTGTCCAGCCAGTGATGAGTAGGGTTGAGCTTCAGACCCGCAGAGCCGTGGAACTCCATAGGTGGCCGGGGCCGGTTCATCATCAGCCACCGGGGTACCCGACCTAGCAGGGCCACCCTCACCCACTTGGGCATGTTGTGGGTGCTGGGGGTGCGGTGGTGTACGTTGAGCACGAAGATGGTGATGACGATGGAGAGGGTGACGAAGATCATGGTGAAGAGCAGGTACTCGCCGATGAGTGGGATGACCAACGAGGTGGACGGGATGATCTCCGTGATGAGCAGCAGGAAGACGGTGAGTGAGAGCAGCACCGAGATGCACAGCGTGATCTTCTCTCCGCACTCAGAGGGCAGGTAGAAGACAAGCACAGTGAGGCAGGAGATGAGCAGGCACGGGATGATGAGGTTGATGGTGTAAAACAGCGGCAGCCGGCGGATAACAAAGTAGTAGGTGACATCGGGGTAGATCTCCGCGCAGCAGTCATACTTCTTACTGTTGTAGGTTCCAGTGGCGTTGATAATGGCCCACTCGCCACTTTCCCAGTAGTCCTTCAGGTCCACCGTCTGTTCCATCTGCTCCAGGTCAATCTTGGCCTTGTCATACGTCCAGGAGCCAAACTTCATCTTGCAGTTCTGCTGGTCAAAGGGGAAGAAGGTCACGTCGATGCTGCAGGAGCTCTTGTAGATGGCCGGGGGCACCCAGTGCACAGTGCCGGTGAAGAAGAGATGGGCCTTGGTCATGTGGGTCACCGCAAACTCCCCATCTGCACTAGGAGAGGAGACAAGCTGGGGTCCTGCATACCTGCCTCCGGGAAACTGGCAGCAGGGCAATGGGGTAAACAAGTCAGCCATTGACTGGCTGGCTAGGGCTGTTCATGAAATGTGTGGATCTCTGCTACAGACAAATGCATCCGGAGTTGTCTTTTCAAGTACCATTGTTTAAATTGCAGAAGTAAAATTTTAAAGAACTAATAATTGCCATTTTGACAGTATGCTTACATATCTGACTGTCATAAAGACTACTTCAATTTTACATATTTTGAATCATAGGACATTTGTAATCTGATCCCCTATTTTTATTCATTTAGTATACTGAAGTGGTTTTTTTGGGGGGGGGGTTGTTGTTGTTTTATAAGATGGTCTTACTATGTAGCAAGGCTGTTTCACAATTTGCTGGCTGGATTTGGATTTGTGATCTTCCTACCTTGGTATCCTGAGTTCTGGGATTACAGGTCTGCTCCACTACACTTGACTAGGGGGTGTGGGGGTGATTTTTGAGTGCTCTTCCTCACTAGCCAATGGGAAGTCAGCTCCCAAGGGGAGGGTCCTGGCTTTGGCACTCAGATTTTTGTTTCTTTCCAGAGACCTAAGATTTTGGCTAGTAAAGAAACTCTATGTAGCCCTATACACACCAGCATAGTGTTTGGGGCCATTTTTTTCTACCAAAGCCTGTACCTATAGGATATAAGGTGTGATTTCTGCCCTTGGGAAACTATATGGAATGATGAGATAAATTCACATGATATCACCACAGATGTAGGACTTTTTTAGGCTTTTGTTTACTTTTATTTTGTGTGCACTGCACACATGTCTGTGAGTGAGCTTGGAACTGAACCTGGGTTCTCCGGAAGAGCAGCCAGTGCTCTTAACCACCGAGCCATCTCTCCAGCCCCACAGTAGGATATTTGGAATGCTCCTGAGACCCTGAGAGCTGGAGGGACTTCTGTCTGGGCTGAACAGGGTCAATGTGAACACTGTCATTTAATAGGCTTGACTTGTCCGCTGACAATAGAAGGGAATAAAAGCAGAAAGGCTCACAGAAATAGAGTGACAGGCAGGGCTTCACTCTGAGTGCCCCTGGGTGGAAATATATTCAAGTCTTTAAACTCCATCCATAATTCTTACATTCAATCTCAACCTGTAGTGATAATTTTGGTCATTTCACATAACTACCACTAGATGGCAACAGGCTGCCATTTGGGACACTGAGACCATGCCATGTCCTTGACCTTTTGCCTATTAATTAGGAGGAGTCTATGAGTCTGCAGCAGTTTGGACTAGCCTTTGCTCTATCAGAAGAACTTCTTGTTGCAATCAGGTATCAGTGACCAACCGCTTATTGGCAATCTTAAAAATCAGATGTGTCTGCTGCTAGGGCTTTGCTCCTGATCTCTGTCACGCAGAAACAGAAACTAGAAAGATGAGGGCACAGAGATAGTGTGTGGAGGCTGGGGTGGCTTGACTCTGCAATAACAGCAAACAGCAGCTGCTTGAGGGCTAGACTGCTGGGGGAGGGGGTGGAGGGTGGGAATGTGACTATACTGTCCAAAGTTATGTGACACCACCCCCCCCACCACCAAGAACCTTTCATGCCTATTCTATCTCAAGAAAGTAGCAGCGTCCCCCAGAGACCTGCTTAGAAAGTATATCAGCAGGAGATGCTGTTAACTGTCACCATCTGGGCTTCCCAGTGAAGACTTACCCAAGCAAAAAGGAAAGAACAGGTTTTAGTTTCTTTTATGAGAAAATGTGGGATGAGGGGAGACTGTGCATATATGTATGCATGTTTCTATGTGTATGTGTGAGTGTGTTTGTGTGATATGTACACATGTGTGGGGGTGCTGGTACATATGAATGTGTGTGTGTGTGTGTGTGTGTATGTATGTGTGTGTGGTATGCACACAAAGTGTGTGTGGTGTGGGGGGTTGCTGGTGCATATTTGAGTGGTATAGGCCTGAGGTTGACATCAAGTGTCTTTCCTTGTTTCTTTGATCATGCTCCAACCTTTTCCTTTGTTTTGTTTTGTTTTGTCCAGACTGGGTTTCTCTGTATAACTTTGGTGCTCTCTTAGAAATCACTCTGGCTGGTCCTGAACTCAGAGATTCACATGTCTCTGCCTCCTGAGTGCTGGAATTAAAGGCATGGACCACCACTGCCCAGCCCATTTTTATTTCTTGAGACAGAATCTCAAGAATCTTAGGTTTTCCATTTTGGTTAAACTGAGTGGCCAGTGAGCCTCTAGGATCCACTTGACTCCCCTGCCCCCAGTGTTAAAGTCAGACTCTCTCTCTCTCTCTCTCTCTCTCTCTCTCTCTCTTTCTCTCTCTTTCTCCCTCATACACACACACACACAACACACACACACATACACTCATACATAGTCTCACACACACACAGACACACACACATAGTCTCTTTCTCTCTCTCATACATACACACATATATACACACATACACTCACACACTCAGACACACACACAGACACACAACATAGTCTCTCTCTCTCTCTCTTACACACACACAAACACACACACACACACACCTTTGTTCCCAGCTTTTACATGGCTGCTGAGGATTCAAACTCAGATCTTCTTGCTTGCACAAGGGCTCTTACTCTCTGAGCCATCTCCCCACCCCAAGATAATATTTTAATTAATAAATGACTTCTTACTTGTTGTAGAGGACAATGTCTGGGATCCAGATCATCTCTGAAGGGACCCGGAGAGAGGTGATGTTGCCAAACTTGGCTGGGTCCCAGCGTAGTTTGTAGTCATTCCACTCCTGCTTTGGGGGGGGGTAGTCATATCAGGGCACTGGAGCATCAGCAACCTCAGGATGACCTGAAATGAGCTGAGGGACTCAAAGGTCCTCAAGACCCTCCCCTAGCCCATAGAATTAGAAGAGGCATGATGCCAGGAAAAGGCTCTAACATGGGAACCAGGCAAACCAACTCCAGGAACCAGGCAAACCATCTCTGATAACCAGCCTGCTTTGCTCTGACTTTGGTAGCCAAAATCCCAGGATGCCAGGGCCAACACATTGTCACCCTAGCCCTGTCTCTGGCCTTTGTTCTGATACTCTGCACCTCCTGAATCTGTTATGCAGTCACTCATTTTCAATGCAGGGCCTGCCAGAGCTAGACAGCGAAGCAAGGAGCTTACCTGTGACCTTTAAACTATGCTCAGGAGACCTCCCTATCCAGGAGGCCCAGCAGGAAGAGAATGCTGAAGTCCCCCCTGTGCTTCCACCAGAACAGGTCCACGTGGGTTTTAAAACCAGATTTGTTTTGTTTTGTTGTTGTTTGTTTTGTTTAGTGTGCCCAAGGTTGCCTGCAACTTGCTATGATGATAAAATGACCTTGAACTCTGCCCCTCAGCCTCTTCCTCCCAAGCACTGGGATTGTATGCATGAGCCACCACACCCAACTTATGTGGTGCTGGGGAATTAAACCCAGGGCTTTCCAGGCAAGCATGGTACCAAACTGTACCATACTCTTCAGTTCCTAAGATATAGAGTTCTTATTCTCTGTCTAATCTGTCTTTCAAGATTTTAGGTTCATAAAGTGTTTGGGGGACACTGACATCAAATGGGGGCATCTGAATGCCATAGGCATATGATAGATGTGTCACCCGCTTTCTAGATAGGGAGACTGAGACTCCCAGAGGCTTACTAACTCCTCCAGCACCTCATGCCAGTCCTAGGCAGCCACACAAGGCCTGGTTTCACCACAGTACTCTCTCCTCTCCTCCTACACCAGCCCTGGCACAGGTGACCAGGACAATTACAGTGACCTAGGTTCTAGACCTACCCCCTCCCATGACATGACTGTGTGCCTTTCAAAGCTTCTTCCTACTCTGGTTCCCGTTGGTTCATTTGTAGGCATGAGGCTCAGAACCTCCAATGTCTCTAGGGTGAACAGTGTCAGAAGCAATTGGTTCAGGGAAACTTCTGATCCAAGCATCTGATTTAGAAGTGGCTATCACAGAGCCAGACACCATCCAGAACTCAGAGAGTCAGGGATTATGCTCAAGAACCCCCCCCCGCCCCCCCCCACACACACAGCGAGCCAAAGACCTACTTGAATGACTCAGAGATATCATCACCTTGGTTTTCTGCATGCTGGCCTTTGAGGCATGACCAGTCAGGTGCCCAAGGGGCCAGAGTAAGAAGCTGGGGGCCGGGGCTAGCTTCCCTTTCCCATGTTCTTCTGTCATCTCTGCTTTAAGGCCTTGGGGTTAGCGGGCAGACAGGAGGGGTAAGGTAAGCTTCCAGCTCTAGCCAGGCCTTAGTCCCTGAGTCTGTGCAACAGGGCACACCCCAGAGCTGCACAAACTCTTCAGCTCTCCTTCCACAGAGATAGTATCTTTGTCTCCTCCAGACTCCAGCTCATTTACTGACTGGGCCTGTAGAATAACATGGGATTGAGAGTGGACCACTTTAGGCCCATAAGTGACTGTCAGCTTCTACTTTCTGTCTCTTGGGACCTTCACTACGGGAGGCTTGAACCACCACGTGAGAACCCATCAGTTCCTCTGCTAGAGACACAGGGAGGGAGCCTGAGGGTGTTCACAGAAGGAGGTAGGGGCCCAGTCTCTCAGACTCTTTCACGGTCTTCCAAACATCCCTGCAAAGGACAGGCATTAAAGGGAAGCCATTTTAGATAACAACAGACTAACCACAACTGGCCAGATGTCATCAAACATGTTGGTCACAATTCAAAGCAGAGGAAGCCATCTGAGCACCAGGTCACAAATACATGTGATGTGGTAAATGCTTTGCTTTATACCTATGAGCTCTGGGGTCATTTGTCAGGCAGCACAGGCTCTGAGCCACACAGAGAAGATGGGTCTTGGATCTGGGCATATCGGTGCCCCCTTGCTCTGTGAGCTAGGGGGTAATGATTCAGTGAGATTTCCCATGTGCTGCCCTGCAGGACCTGGGGCTATGAAATGCTTGCTTCTAGAAAATGGTCTCTTGGTGTTATGTGTTATGGTAACAATGACAGTGCAATAAGAGCATGGCCATACAAAGTCAGCCCTTGAGGACAGCATCCTGCATACAAAGTCAGCCCTTGAGGACAGCATCCTGCATTACCTCACACCTGAGTGACTACTGAGCATGATCCACGAATTCAGTATCTTGCTGCTCCATGATCCTTCAATAGTGAGGGTCCTAGAAAGGGCTGGGGACTGGGGACACACCCGTCAGCTCCTACAAGGGAAGGCTTACCTGCTTTAGCCAGACATTGGTGGTCATCATTTGATTCTTCTCATCCTGGGATAGCAGACATAGAGAATAACAGCAGTCGGGGGACTGACAAACCAGCCCAGAAAAGAGTGCATAGGAGGTACTTTGGGGACCCACTCACAGGACACCTCCACAGGGTCACCTGGGACATGAGAGGGGACTTTGGACATGTGTTTTAGAAAACTTTCTTCTGACAGCCCGTGTTCTTGGAGGCTCCTAGGCTTGGGAAGGAAGGCGCCATGGTAACCCAACTAGGTAGCTGCAAGCTGTATCCAGGGTGGGTTTTGAGGGCCGCTGGGAAAAGGGCTGAGCCAAATCCAGAAAGGACCATGAGAAAAAAGAGGTGGGCTTGGGACTGGCCAAGGGAACACAGGGTGAAAGGGAAGACCCACCACATCTATAAGCTGGGCAATGGATAGTCCAAAGCGCACGATGACCACATCAGAGGTATTGGGCACTGGCCGTGCCCAGCGATTGTAGCCTCCAAACAGATATTTGAACAGGCGGTCCTCAGCCTGGGTGTGTGAGCCTTGTTGGGCCAACACTGTGAGATAAAAATAGAAAAGAGTCTGCATGAGGCCAAGGATGTGAGCCTGTGCCTTTCTTTCCATCTCCCATCAAAGCAGAGATACTCAATACCATGTAGCCTCGGTATGGGGATGCAAATAGGAAGTACATCTCAAACCTCATTGGGGATTCCATAAATCAATGCATATCAGCACTTAACACAGCCCCAAGGATGCCATACAAACATCATACACTTGCATTCCCTTCCTGATTTCAAGAGGCAGGAAGTGAGAGCTGCCACAGCCAAGTAAGAAAGCTCCAACCTAGAAACCAGTCTCAGCCAGAACCAAAAATCCCCAAGGGGAATGGGAACACCGGGGTGGCTGAAAAGAGCTTCACCCACTGCTGGGATCCTGGATGATGGTAGATTTTTATTTCCTTTCCATTCATCCTTCCAACAAGCTCCTGACGCCCATGAGAAATCTTCTCCCATGCAGGGTACCACCCTGCGTTCTTAAATCACCATCTCTGACCAACCATCAGCTGGGCAAAGCTTTGCAAAACTGTCTGATGGAATTTATCATGTCCTTTCCTCTATGTTTTTGCATAATAGCCTCACCATTATGGCATTCTACTGCCTGAGCAGGCAACAAACCACCTTACCAAAAACAACAAAACAAAACAAAACAAAAACCTGGGCAACCACAGCAACAGCAATGACCACAGCCACCATGTGTGCATCCCCACATACCTGCCCCAGCCTGTTTGCTGGGTGCAAGTTTCCTTCTTCCCCATAGTAATCCTGAGTGCTCCATGATGCTATTTGCATTTTTGTAGACAAGAATATTGAAAAGCTTAGAGCATTCAAGGTGACAAATCTGCTGGCACTAGAGTTGGAACAGCCCCTTGTCTTCACCCTGTGGTACTGGCCACCCAGCCAATTACCTTGAATGCCCCCTGTAGCCTTGAAGATGAAGTGGGCCAGCCTCCTGGAAAGCCCCCCATGTGGTCTGTGGGCACACACATATGAGATGAAGTCCTTGTGATGGTAGTGGTACCCACTCACCTGCTGGCATCAGAAGGAGACACCAGAAACAGAGATGCATCCAGGACTGGAGAGCAGGATGGGCCAGGGTCATGGCTTCAGAGGGTCCTGGTCTCCGTTGAACCACTAGGAACTGCTTTCTGTGAGGTCTGTCTCTCCTTCACAACTGAATAAGCCAAGGGGAGGACTCAGGGTCAAGTGATATGACATGTAGTGTCTTTGTCTTTCATATCCCATGAAGGTTTGGAAGCTGAGTAAATGAGTGCTCACAGCTGCCTGGAGTTCAGGGCTCTTTGACTGCTCTGCTCTATGGAGGAGCAACTTCTCTTTTCCAGTCACTCAACTGCTGACAAGCTGAGACACGGCCGACCTTCACAGAGGAAGGGGCCACATTCCTTCCATAGTGGCCTCAACTCTGCATCCATAAAGTGGGATAGCCATACTGGAAATGTCAGTCAGTGGAAGAACGTGGCTGCTAGTGACAAGGACCCAAGGATGCAGGCAGCGAAAAGCTCATCAGCGATGAACAATTGAGCCGAGGGTAACACAGCTAAATAATGGAATATAATGAAGGGATAGAAAGGAATTAAGTGGTGTTTGTGATTGATGGGATGAACTTCAAAAACATGGTACATGAAAGAAGCCAGACACATTGCAGGAGTTTGTGGATGGGTGCATTCCAGGCCAAGAGAATCTGGAAATATGATGCAGATGAGTGAGTGGAAAGGAATGGGAATGACTGCTGATAATCAGCGGGCTGTCTTTGGGGGTGGGGTATGGACATGAAAATAGTTCTGGAATGACATGGTGGTGATGGCTGCACAAGTCGTGAATATAATAAAGCTGACCAAATCTTGTGCTTTAAATGATGAATTATATTTCAGAAAAGCTGTTATTTAAAAATGTTCTTGAGTAGTAAGATGTGGCCATCCTCTATGGATTACATGATGGTGAATGTGGAGCTGATGCAGGAAGGTCCTGGGGTTGAGAAACACAGATACTCAAGCCGGTTAAAAATGTCTCACACAGCTCTCTTTTCCCACTCTCTTTCCCTCTCTCTTCCCTGCTGTTCTTCAGGGGCAGAGAGGACTTCTCCCGTCTCCCTCTTCTCTTCTGTCCTCTCTCTGTCTCTGTGTCTCTTTACCTCTTCTCTCGTTCACCCCCCCTTTCCCTTTCTAATAAAACTTCTCTCACACACAAAGGTCTTACACGGAAGAGTGGGAGGGAAGCAGCATCCTAAGATACTGAATTATTTTGCATAGCATAGGGCTCAATCACATGACTACAATGGTACTAAGTATTGCCTTTAAGAGTTTACATATTGAGGGATTGAGGAGATGGCTAAATTGGTAAAGTGCTTGCTTTGCAAGCACAAGGATCTGAGTTTGAGCCCCAGAACCTATCTTAAAAAACTGGGTGTAGGGATGTACTTGTAATCCCAGCACAGCAGAAATAGAGACAGGTGACCTCTGGAAATTGCTGGTCACCCAGCCAAACCTAGTCAGAAAGCCCTGGTCCCCATGAGAGACCTTATCTCAAAAAAGAAAAGAAAGTAAAAGGTGACAGACAATGCCAGAAGAACTTCTGAGGCTGTCCTTTGGTCTCTAAACATATATGCATACATGTGTACACCCACACATATGTAGATGGAAGTTTTTCTTTGTCTGAACTCGTCACATTGGACAAGTTTCTCTCCCACCCACTGGTCCCTGCAGCCACTTATTAAATAATTATTCTGAGGCTTAATATTAATTATAATTGTCAGGCCCTTGGCTCGAGCATATTACTGACTAGCTCTCACAATTAAATTAACCCATTTCTATTATTCTATATTTTACCATAAGGTTCATGGCTTGTTACCACACATCTTGTTTCCCTGGAGGCTATATGGCATCTCCCTGTCTCTGCCTTCTTCCTCTCCATATCTTTGTTTTGATTTCCTACCTGGCTAAATTCTGCCTGGCCATTGAACCAATGAAAGCAACACGCATTCGAAGCATATAGAAGGACATCCCATACCACACCCGTGCACCATCACACATAGAGTTTATATTTGCAAATGTCCACGTGTGGTGCCATATGTATATTGCCTAGAGATAGAACATGTCTTAGCACAGACATAGGGTTTCCTTTTGACAGTGATGAGAATGTACTGGGATATTCTGGAATGTTTCTGGAATGGTGATTGGTTGTGCACAGCATTCTTAAAACCCTGAATGCCCCTATAGTTGATTTTATATTGTGCATAATTAACCATGGCTTCAAAATCATGACTAAGAGAGTGCTTTAAACACAGAAGTGGCCACATACATGCAGTAATCACAATCATTACCAAGGGAACTATGAAGCGTCTGTTCTCTGGTCCTCATCCCCTGTTCTAGCATCACCAGCAAGCCAGTCTCTTTTCCACAGTCTTCACTCTGCACTGTGCTCCCTACCCCATTCCGAGTCCGAAAACAAGACCCTGAGTCCTGGCCATGTCATTACATCACTGACAGTTCAGCTTATCTGTAAGATAGCTGGAACCTACCAGAACAGGTACATAGTCCAGTGAGGTCACGGGTGTCCATGTGTGAACTCCAGAACACTGAAAAGGAGGGCCAGGCGTTGGGTTGCTGCTGTGATGGTCAATGCACTGTGACTCAGTAGCAATACAAAGTGACCGTGCCAAGTAGGGAAAGAGTGAGTGGGGGAGTGTCAACATGCTGCTATTTCTGGGAAATATTTACTCTTATAATTTAGAGCACCAGGGTGTGTTTGGGGGAAAGCTCCCCCCTGCATCAATTTTCACAAAAGGTTTCAGTTCAGAGACTCACGAAAACTTGAGATTTTTTTGGCCCCTGACCCACAGTCCCCTCCCACTCCACATCCAACCTCTTCACCCAGTCAGATCCTGCAAACCTCCTCCAGGGTAGAGCCAGTAAATGTGGTCATCAAGGAAATTTAGAGACCATCTGGTGGTCCCAGCTGATACATTTGTAACTATCTCTTGAGTCTGAGGCTCCAGATCATTGTGAATGAGGGCAGAAAGATTGTTAACAGCTAGAGGAACAGGGGTTAGCAGTGAGAATGTGTCTCCTAGAAATGTCAGAAGCTTCCACTCACCAAGTCTCACCTACATGGCTACCAAAACATGAGCTGAACAAGGATGACCACAATAGACATGATAACACGGACGAGGAAAGCCCATGGAGCCTTATCCCTGTACAAAGACTACAGACAACTAAGTGCTGTTGAGAGCTGGAGAAATAGTCTTCCCCAGGGAAGAGCACACCAATTAGTTATCCAATACCAAGTGGCTGGCCCCGAAAACATACATGTAAGTAGCATTATACAGATTAAGCAGGCTGTATTCATGTATATGGGAATGTATATAATATATATCAACATTAAAAACAAAAAGAGGCCATGAATTTTAAAAAGAGCAGGAGGGGAGGTTCATGGGATGGTTTGGAGTGAGAAAAGAGAAAGCAGAAGTGATGAAAAAATATTTCTAAAAAACTTGACATTTTCATTTATCCCCTGTTCCCTCGAGAGAGTACCACTCTGGTCACTGGTTATTTTGACGCCAGTGCTATCCATGCTATGTCGCCCACAGCATGACACAACTTTCCCTGCTTTGTTCTGGCTCTCTTAAAGATGCCTGACTTTGTCCGGAGCCCTCACCAAATGTCCCAGGGAGCAGATAGAAAAAAAAGGTCAGCGATTTCCAAAAGGTGTCAGCTCTGGAAAACTCTTCCAGAACAGCGCCCCCAACAGGGAAGCAACAAGAAGACCTGCTGTGGGAAGCAGCCCTCACACATGGCACCATCCCCGGCCACCTCTGGAGCAGCAGCCTAGTACCGGGCCTGCCTGCCCAGCCCCAGTTTCTTCACCTCCAGGGAAAGGGATCAGAGCCAGCATGTTCTTGTCCCTTTTCATCTTTCTCCTGCGTGCCTGGAATCACCTGCTGTCTTCTGGGTGCCCCACTTAGAGGCGTTTATAACTTTTTGACACTTTCCTACATTTTCCAAATTTTCTACCTTAAGCATAATATTGAAAGGTCTTTTTAGTATGTTGTTACGTGTCTTGCTCCAGCCTCACGGGTGCAACTTCACTCAAAGTCCTCATAGAACTTGGATTCCAGTCTCTCATCCGAATGGATACAAGCTATCAGAGTGAATTGTGTGGTAGGAGGAATAACCCATGTCCCCAAGAGACATAATAAAGAAAACATTGTCTGTGCAGACAGTGGAAGACTTTATAGCCTTATAAAGGGAAGATCCTGAACTTTGCTGGGATAGGGATGAACCTTGATACGGTAAGCTAATTGAAATAGGATGGACATGAAGAGACAACTCTGTGTAACTCCACTTCCAGGAGGAGATGCCTGGAATCAACAGATTCCCAGAGACAGAATTTCAAATGGTGTGGGAGTGAGGAGTGAGTATTTATGGTGTGGAGTATCAACGGTTCTGGAGACAGAGGTGATGGCAGGACACCATGTTGCTGGACTTGCTGTCAATGGGCTGAGGGCATGGTACATTGTGTTACCTGTATTTTATCACAGTGGGGACAGTCCATCTGGGTCCATCTGTAATCTCTAGGTTTAAGACATCTGAACTCTGATATGCCACCAACACTGGGGCAGAGGTGGCAGAGGCTCCAACAGCAGAACCCTGCCATGAACTCCCTCCTTGAGATGACACCTCAGAAACCCTGTTGCCAACTTGCACTGGAAATGAAGACCAAGTTCTCAGCTCACTCTGTGTCCCCTTAAAGTGTGTCTGTGGAGAAGGGAGGCTGGGGGGGAGCTGATGGGGAAGACCAAGGCTTATCACTGCGGCTAGGAATGTGGTTAGGGGGAAGTATCCGCTGTTAGAACCTGGTTACTTAATTTGTATGTATTGTGTGCATCTTATTGTATGTGTTTGCTTGTATATGTGCACATGTGTATATACATGTGGACCCCGAGTTGACACTGGCTGTCTTCCTCAATCAATCTCTACTTCGTTTATTGGATCAGGGTCTCTCCCTGAACCTAGAGCTCACCAGTTCCAGTTAGTGTAGCTATCCACTTGCGCTCGGGATCTCTTGTCTCTGGCTTTGAAGTGCTGGGATTAAAAGCAGCTTC